CCCCCCCCCCCCCCCCCCCCCCCCAACTATCTAGACTGTTTTGACGCAGTAACTTTGGTTACAATCTCCATCATGACGAAAGGCCAGTATCACATTTGTTTTACAGGAATGATTTTAAAATGTTTGCTAAGAATGAAGTGATTCTTTCCCAAATGCTGTCTGTCGTCAATGATTTTAGCAATGACATCTGCATAAACCTTGACAAATGTACAAAAGTCAATTTAAAGAGGCAGAGTGATGTCAGAGAGAATTGACGTTGATATGCACACTGTGATTCAAGATTTTGAGCCAGGTAAAACCTACAAATATCTGGGCATTGAAGAATGTGAGAACATCACAAACAACATAATGAAAGAGAATTCACAGGGAGTATTACAGAAGAATGAGACTTGCCCTACAGACCCAACTCCAGAAATAAAATGTCAGCAATTGGTTGTTTGACGGTGCCTGTAGCCGAATACAGTTTCAGACTAGTGGACTGAACTGAGTTAGAAATTAGAATCATGGATTGAAAAACTGGACAACTGCTTACAACCCATCAAGTCACCTACCCTCAAGCTGATGGATATATACTTTATGTATCACGTAAGGAAGGTTAGAGAGGTTTCTGACAAATTGAAGCTGCCTCCTGGCACAATGCAATAGTCTAGAATGGAGAGTATGTAGTCAGTCATCAAGATCATCCACTAATGAGACAGAGATATTGTAAGTCTGGCAAGAAGCGTTGAGAAGAAAATTAAGCAAGACATCCCGTATAACTCTGATACTGCACTTCTGATGGTGCTTAAGATGAAATGTGAGACACAAAAATGTTAAAATCTTGAAGAGCTAATTCACTTCATGGACAATATCTAAAAAGAACAGACAAGGCAGATCAATAATCATCAGTCATTTGTATGTCTTAAAAGAGGAAGAGTGAAGCCAAATTGGAAGCAGTTGTTATAGCTGCCCAAGATCAAGTGTTGAGAACACGATATTATGAAACAACAATGGCCATCTCTGTGAATGTGTGGCATCAAAGCACACATCATCCTGATAGTTATGGGAGCTCTGGGATTTGTTCCGCAAAATTTGAGTAAGAACTTGGCTAAACTCCCAGGCCATTCAAACATTGGGAAGTGCAATTCATAACTTTATTTGGAATAACCCACATTTTGCACAAAGTATTATAGAAGCATCAAATGTCCCTAGAACTACTCCTTAGGAAGCTGGTTGCAACCTGGAGTAGGTTTTAAATTCAACTGACTCATAACATCTTTAGTCGTAAAGTACAGGAATAATAATAATAATAATAATAATAATAATAATAATAATAATTATTATTATTATTATTATATTTGATTAATTATGAGGTAATATCTTGTAAAAATAATAATAAAGCATTTTGGTTTCTAACAGCAGATTTGATGTAAACATGTTAACACTCAAAATGTTGGATTCAATGCCTATAATGGAGGAAAAAAATGGGGTGGGGGGGCACAATGAAAAGAATGTTTAAGCACCCAGCTTTCAAAAATACAGTCCTCCAAAAAAATTTGTTATCAATCCGTTCTTTTATGAATATTCATATTAATGTGTACCCTATATCTTTAACTATTGAACTATGGTGTTGTTGATCACCATTACATGACTGACACCTTTTTCATGACCCACTAGAAATGATAAAGAAATTGTACTCTTACATGACAAAAGACAGAACATCTCTCAGGAGTATGAGTACTTCCAAAGTACCCCTCCATATGCTATCCAATGCTAGCAAATCTTAAATTCCTTATTGAAATCCACTGCTCTGTTACGGTACTCCGAATGCATTAGTAGTGTATTTTATAATGATATTTAAATATTATTTAGGTAATGATATCCAGACATTCGACGGAAGTTGGGTTCAAAAAAATATTTTGGAGGGTAGAAAAGGGTCTCACAAGTATGTTTATTTTCCTATGCATCTAAACACTCAACAATAGAAAATACTTCAAATGTGTTTCTAAAACACTTTTTTGTAGATGAATTTTTTTAAATCATATTTGAAATAATTTTGTTCCATAAATTAAATTACAGAAAAAATGTTACTGAAGAGAAAATAAGGCTTTAAAAGTATAAAAAGTAATGGAACACTTAACTAAATAAAACTATTTTTGTTGTATTGTATTGTAAGTTAATTGGAAATATTTAGTCTTGGCAAAAAGCTTCTAATGCCTGCAATGTCCTGACAGCCTAATTGTTCTATTTTCAGAGGGTAGATTCTGTTTATAATGTGACAGCGAAAGTTCTCCATTTTCTTTTGATTGCTCTGTAAGAATATTTGGAATTCTCAATATAAAAAACTGGTTTAAAATTAAAAGAACATACAATAATAGTTTTAGCCCTGTTTATTATGCTACGAATCATTACTGTTCCATAGTTTGTATCACTTTACGTGTGATAGTACATAATTTGTAAAGTACTTTTAGGATTGGATTACGAACAACAAAACAAAAAGTATGTTTAGCAACTGCTTTGTAAAAAACATTCATAAAGATCTTTTCATTACTTCTTGTTTCACCAACTATTTCACAAATGAAATTTCTGCCAATAACTAGCAAGAATTCAAATCAAACAAACCAATCAGAGAATTAATGCAAAATAATCACTTTCATTATCATCTTCTTAAAAGAGATAATTATTGCCTTTATGTTTTTAGAGGCCTTATATAATTCTGCTGAAAACTTCATATGGCACTTTAAATGACAGTCTCATTGGTATTTGCTGTGAAACGTCAATACATCATTCTTTCCTTCTACAAAGGTTCAGCTTGTATAGAATGTATGAATTTTGATGTTACCAGCTGTTTCCGAGTATTTTCCCTGAATAATTTTCACATTTCAATTTTCCTGTGTTTTCTAAGTTTTCCCAGTTTTCCAGAAATTGGTCACCCTGAAAAATATCTTCTGCCTTAATACTTTCCCATTTTATTCTCATGCACTTTTCTAAAACACGTCAGACAATAAGAGGTTTATTTAATCACGAAAGTGACAATCAAGAAACAGAAAACTCACACTTTGGGGAGTTTTGCCTACAGTAAAATAAATTTAGATACTATACACGTTTATAAAAAAATTGTACTTAAGTTTATAAATTATAAGTTAAGTCAGTCTGCCAAGCAAATCCGACCTAACATGTACAATATTCTAAAATTCTTGACATAACAAATATCTGTAACCTAATATAATGTATGATGTTTAAAGACTGGTTTCCCTCATGACCGGTTATTGTATATATACTACATTTTAAAACAGACAATAATATTACAAACATATCACTACATGAATTCTCTCCCTATTAACTTACCTGTCAGCTTCATCTAAGATAATTATCTTTTGACGACCAGGTGGCAATGTTACTTTCTGCTGTGCAAACATCTTAATTTTATTGCGCACAACATCTATACCTCGATCATTTGAAGCATTCAATTCTAAAACAGCAGAGCTGAAAGCTGGGCCCAACAGAATTCGAGCCAGGCATAGAATGGTTGTAGTTTTGCCTACTCCAGGAGGACCCTGAAACAAAGGAACATAATATGAATTAAAAAATTGCTTCTCAATAATGAATATAACATGACAAATTTCCTAAGAAAATAGTACACACAAGAATTTCAACTGAAGTGCATCCAAATTTGTATTACTAATCCAATAGAAACATAACATATAAAGAAAAACATATAAAAAATCTATAAATTTCTACAATATTCATGAGAATGTGTTTTGAGTTTTAATAGATGTGATATATATCAACAATTACATTTTTTTTAAAACTGAAAATGTTGCAGGGGCTTCATGAAAAGTACCTTCAAATTTTAAAGAATGTTTCTCAAAATTGCTGTTCCTCAAGTCAAGCCAGATCAAGAAAATCCTACGTATGGTTTAGGCGCTAGTAGTGTTCACAAACAGACAGACATTCTGACGTTTTGGACAGAAAGAAAGAAAGAAAGAAAGAAAGAAGAAGAGAAGAAAAGAAAAAAACACACACACACACACTATCAGTATCAGGGGACCCTAAAACAAGTATTTCCAAAATTGATTTTCTGCAACACTGCATAACTTTCTCTACAGTATGTACGTACATATGCAAGAAATAAAAAAAATTCAGAAAACAGGATAAAATTGTTTAATAGTTAATCAAATACTTACAATCCCTCACTATAGCAACAATTGATACTAAAGATCTACCATGGTACCGTGATAAATTTTGCGACTACCAATGCACTTATTAATGTGTTCCAAATGTTTTGAATACCTAGGGCAGAGTGGTAACGGATGGAACATTTCAATCTCATACCATGCATTTCACAAGAAAACAGACTCAACCATATGTTTTCAGCAGTTCAAATAGAGTGGATCTGAAGTTGTTTGGAGTTGAAAAATCTTTATTCATCCATTTTTGACAGTAATTGAGAACATTTTCGAAATTCTAATTGTGAACAATAAATATCTTGAGCTACTGCAAAGTGTTGGTGTTGGACAAAAATTCAAAGTTTTGCGAGTTATATATGAGAACATGTTCTGATTTTGCATTGATTGTACGCTTCACACAGAGAGTGAAAGTTTTGCAAGAACACTGTGGGAGGGGGTAAGACGAATGTATTTAGATTTATTCCATGTGAAGACACTGTTACCAAAAGCTACAGTAGATTCCTATGTCTTGTCCTATTCCTTAATTTTGAAGTTGGTCTTCCTGGTTAAATACATTTAGTTAGATCTCAATTCATGAGAAATATAAAGGTCATTGCATAGTTCATGTATACTAAATTAATGTTGTGGTTAGTGCTCCATTGCAATTAACGTAAATGTTGAGAAATAAAATAGTGAATTACCAATGAGTTTCAGAGCAATTTATTTCAATTTATCTAAGTCACATTTCTTGTACCATTCCTTCTGAAATGTTGTCCCATGCCACTTGCAATAAAGAATGAATGGCACAGTTGACGGTACTTGAAGGAATGATTCCAAGAGAAAATCCAGAAGGAATTATAACATTTTTGTATGTTTTACTTCAAGTCTGCATCCATTACTATCTATCAGTAATGGATTTATTGCAACTGAAATGAGCCATAACTGTAAAAATGTACAAGATGTCCCACACTTCCACTCTCTCCCCTACAATTTTTATTACTTATTTGGATCACTGTCATTACTTAAAAACAATATTCCACAATAACCAAATCAACAGAGAAATTTTATTATCAGAATTAAGGCAAACTTCTTAGAAGAAAAAAATTATTTTGAAACACAAGACACTATGTTATAACTGTAGTACTGTCTTAAGTACTTTCAGAAAAGGAAAAAAAACTTCAAAGTAAGCAAAGTTATAGAAGTATGCCATTTTCTATAGCTATAACTAAGTGGATAAAAAGAAAAAAAGGAGATATTTTAAAACAATAACAAGAAGAAGAAACATTGAAAAGATAATATATGTGGCTTGATGCAAGAAGGGTCAATGTCAGTATGTAGTTATTTTCGGTTTGTATAGCCTATGTGTGCTTTAAAGATCCTTCTTTCAGCACAAGAAAGGCCGAAGTCATCTTCCAATTTTACCATCTTCACATTGGCCTATGATTTTCTTGTCATTTTGATGGGAAGAAAATACTATCATTTCTGTAAAACTTTGAATATCGACCTTGACCCTTCATGCACCAAGCCACAAATATAATTACATGAAAGCACGGGCATATACCATACAACATATTATTCAGCTATCTATTTCACTGTCAATAATAAAAACAACTATTTACATATAAGTTATAATATTGATATCCTGAAAACAAAATGCCTTAATTAGTCAAATAATATCCGCCGTGAACTACAAAAAATACTACATACTGACACTTACGGCAATTATAATATTAGGCACATCTCCTTGTTTAGCGAAAACACTTAACCGTGCAACAGTTTCTTCATTTCCCACAATGTCTTCAAAGGTCTGCGGACGATATTTTTCGATCCTGTAGCAAATATTAGCAAAGGACCACAAATTAGCAACGATCACATCACAACATAACCTCAAACACAATTCACGATTTCTTACCAAGGAAGACTATGGCCGGTTTTAGATTTAGATGAAACATTTTCCTTACTGGTAGACGGAATAATTTCGTCTACTTCCATTATATCATCGTCTGACATTTTTTTAATGTTTTAATTCACGAAGCCACAGATAAAAACAACGCTCTTCACTCGCCGACTGGACCAATTCCCGCCACTTCTTAAGTTCTAGCGATTCTTCTCACGTGACTTTTCATATCTGGCGGTCTCTTCGATTCCTTCAAACGCCAGAAAATAAGAACAGTAACATTCATATTCTAAAATCTTTAATGAAATCTTACTTTTTCATTAACGAGAATTTTTAACGTAAAAATTATACTAATTGACATTTCCATATGACAAGTTATTTCTGATACTTGAAAATGAAAAAATACCAATCATTCAGATTTTTGTCTGGTCGTCTATCATTCAATTTTGAGCGAAAACTACTGTTACCTTTTTTGTTATTAACACTCTTCAAATAAATGAAATACGTATATGAAATTACGGATTCTGCAATTAATGAAACTGTACCAATCATCTTAAAACATAGTCTACACAACATGAAGTCCCATGTGGTCGATCTAATTAAACTTCGGTACACTGTATTTCAGTATATTAAAGTATAGACACAAAATTTCACAAATACGGATAAAATACCTAATACTTTATCCGTATAGAAGGACAAAAAAACCTGCCGCAAAAAATGCCCCGGGTGAGGATCGAACTCACGACCTTAAGATTATGAGACTTACGCGCTGCCTACTGCGCTACCGAGGCCTCGAGGTCTGAAGCCCAAATATTGAAAACTTATTGTGTATATTATTTTTTGCATATGACAAAAAATTTACTATTTTATAATTTTGATTTGTATTATGCGATATATTAATTATTTGATTACAATCTCGATTACCTTATATCTGAATTTACCTACAAGATTAAAAAAACAGAAATCACATAAAGACAAATGATTCGTGAGCACAGGAGTGATAGTGATAATTTAACACAGTATTCATAAATTAAAAAAGAGGTAATTCATAAAATTTGTTTCGTAGAGCAGAAATGTAATTTTGACGGTAAGGAACAGTTTTTTCACTGTTTGGCTGTGGTAAATGTTTTGTAAGCGAGCGATGTAAGAAGGGTTTTCTCTTTTATTCATTAATATAATAATGTATTTAATAATGTATTATATAATTTCATTATAGTCATAAATATTTATTCATTCATATTTATATTAATTAAGAATAACGTATTATTATTTGGCCAGGTATTGTTTTCAAGTATGTATTTTAATCGGAATTGGAGGCAGTAGAAACTATAACTCACAAAAACATTAGACACCAACACGAAACACAATTGTTAAGATGTGGAAAAGAGTTTCCTCGTCAGATATCTAAAAAAAAATAAAACTTCAAGATGTACGAGTACTAAATCGTTCAATACCTGGGTCATTTCATCAGTTATTACGCACTTGTGCATCTGGAAAATCGTTTTTACAGCAGGTTACGGATAACATAAAAATCCAGAAACGTAACCATGCCCACCCGAACTACTATGTCCGCCCAATGATCGATATCAATATGGGTATAATTGGGATAGAAGGAGGATCTGAATGAAACTCACATGTAGTTTAAGCTGGGAAAGAAACATAACCACTAACAAAATTAAAATTTATAAAAGTATTAGAGCATATATGAGCTTCAAAAATATTTCGTAAACAAAATATTACGTTTTTCATATTCGGATCATAGCAATTCGACAAGTGTAGAGGACCATGGAAAATGTCAGAAAATCACCCAATGTGCGCCCTCCATATTATATGCATACAAGGAGCAAACGAAAGCAATTCCCCTTGTACATTGTGTGATCTTCCCTTCCTCATCGTAGCCCCATTCTCTCCTCTTGAGCACGCACACGTATATGCATTACACTACCACACAAGTTGGGAGCTAAAGGTTGTCCCAGCTGGGAAAGATAGCTTGAGGGGAAAATTCCCTCAAACCGACGTGTAGATCGGCGACAAATCTCTTTATCGGTGGGAAACTCACCTCTGTCATATTTAAAAATCAAAATAGTTGACGCGCCGGGAAAGAAAACTTATTCATTGACCAAAAATGTTGAGACGTATTGTTGAGTTTTCGCGCGTCAAAACTGTTTTAGAATGAACAGATTATTTTTAGCTTGAGAGGTGTCAAGAGAGCTTAGATCACTTTAGAGTGGCAAGATCTTTAGTTCTTCAAGCTGAGGAATATAAATGATTTTTTTTTGTCGTTTCGTATGAAATGTATATTTGCCGAACAAATCATTACCTTTTTGACAACAAATTATTATAAATTGTGAGATAATTATATGTGCGAAGGGGCATTCTTGAAAGCAACTCAGGAATTTTATCCAATGAAGAAATGAGTCTTGACTGCAGTCCATCTTAAGAAAGCTAATCTTGCCATTCATTCTCATTCAAACAGTGTAATCGTAAAAAACATCGGGATATTTTGCTTCATCACAAATCTTTCTTGATATCCTATGCATTGTAGTTTTCACAAAGGTTTTGATGCCTCGGAAATATGTCAGGGATTTTTTTCTTTCCTTACAAGTAGTTCTTAGTTTAGGTTGGAATTTTAGTGATCATCTTTTGACCAGTTTAAAATATTAATCTCCTCGTTATTAGTGATTTGGCCGAAATATCTTCTCGTTGTGTTACTTAAAAAAACTGAGTGTTGAACAGAGAGAGATTAAAAAATGTATACAATGTTTCTACATTTCAAGTTCCAGTGGACACCCGTTGAAATGGTGTGAAGATAATGGCATAAGCAAATTGGACTCTGACCATTTTTCAAGAGAAACTATATGACTCTGATCGTTCTTCTAAAGGATATACAATCTTAAAACTCAATTTAAATGAACACTACACAAACTTGATAGTTAATCATTTATATTATACGATGGCACTAGAATCTAAAAATACGACTGGGATGGACTTGGTCGTTATTTACAGTGTATCCTTTAAGTGTGAACAAAGTCGAACACATGGAGGAGAACACTCGAATAATTAGAGTTTTCAACGAACATGAAACAGTCCTTCACACTATCCTACAACACAATTTAATCAAAAAACACGGAACAAGTTTTTTGAAAATTTGGAAAATGTCCCAGGGGTTTTATGCAAAGTAGCCCCCAAACTTAAAATATAAGTTTCAAATTCAAGAGACCGCGACATCAGCCAGATCAAATGCATAATATCAATTTTGGAGAAAATCGGCTAAACGGTATAGCCGATAGCGTGGTTCACAGACGGACAAGCAGACGGACAGACAGACGGATAGACAGACGTTTTGCCGTCATTCAGTTTTTCGGTATCAAGGATCCACAAAACATGAATTCTGGATACACCATGTGTTAAAGGATTTTTTCTATAGTTAGCAACTAGATTTATCCACTTTTTCGTTAGCAGGGCCCGGCAATAAGGGGTTTTCTGCCAAAAATTCTCAGATTTTTTCGCGCAGCATCACATAACATTCTCCCTACTCCGTAGCAAGAAAGCAAAATGTTTCCAAAAAAGTACTATTCACACTACTCAAGAGTGACAAATAAAATACTATATTATAACCCTACAATAAATTAATATTTTAATACAAAACTGTCTTCACGAATATTGAAATAACATATTATGGAATACGGTACAACAGTTGTTTACATACCAAGAATAACAGAAGAAGTAGTTGATCCCTATCGCAACTTAGTAAAAATTGAATGGCAAGCGGCCTCTTTCTGGGAGTCTTACAGTCGCATAGCGTCAGCTGTGTCGTAAGCGCTGCTTACGAGTATAGAGTATGAGAATTCAGTAGCTGCGCGCAGTATGAGAAGAGGCGGAACAATACAATAAAATATTTGTATTTTTCAGTCAAAACAGAAACATTGTATTTGGATTTTTTCCGAGTTCGTAGGTGTCTAACGAAACCACAGATACTCCTCACACGGGCGGAGGCTGGATAGTTTTCTTTCACCTTCGGCACGGTTTGGATATCGGGAATATAAGCTATTTAATATGTATTGTTTGAAGGATAAGTCAAGCGCATTCTCGGGAATGAATGGAATTAGAGTAAATTTCTCCCAAAACTCAAACGCGTTTTTTAAACACATTTTAAAATGCATATAATCCGCAAATGTTTATTGTTTAAATGTTTAATCTGCACATTTATGATTAGACCCCCCTCATGCGGGAGCCAATCGTACTTCATTATATCTTCATGAGCTTACTTCATAGCAATATTTTTAATCGTTCGAAACACCGAGAGGTGCTACAGCTGAACAATTCGTTCAGAATTATAATCGGTTATAAGGACAGAAACTAAACGAAAAAAGAAAAATACGAGAAAAATAAGCATTACGATAAGTAAGCCAAGCAGACAAGAAGAGAATGGAAAGATAAATAAAAGAGTAGGCACGACAAGCGGAAGAGAAGAGTGGAATAAGTAAAACGGCAACCGTCGAGAGGAAGTGTTTCGCAGAACAGGTGAACAGCCTTGGGAAACTTCAGACAAACGATTCTTTCAGCTGCCCTCGACACGATGTCGTGCCACCATCGGCCCTTATCTGCTTTGTTCTTCATCCACCCCCACGAAGAGATGTTCGGAAAAGTACATGCAAAAACAAGAAAACGTGACCGCCGGCCGAGAATCGAAAATAGCAACAAAGCGCCGCCTCTCGCGCCTTTCACTCGCGAAGGTTGATGTCACGGTGACATCAGAGTTTCGGATGATGGCACTCCCTGACGTCACGGGAAAGGCGTTGCTGGCGGCGCGCGCGATGGCGCGGAAGAACAAAATAAAGAAAAACGAAAAAAAATGTAAATTTACCCAATTGCCGCTTTCATTTCGTTTCGAATTGTGTTAAAAAATGTTTTGGATCAGGGAATCCCAAAGAATACATTTCTAAATGAAAGATCGAACATGAGGAATGGTAACTGAAGGAAAGTGATTATCGAATGGTATTCAATTTTACATAATTGATCATGTTTACTCAAAATTTTGCAAATTAATATAAAATGTTCACATTCGTCTCATAGGAAAATGTAACAATTCTAAATGTTTGATACTTGAAAAGATGCCATGTGTCCACTAGTTGAAAGCAATCTAAGGTACATCATTTCGTATGTTTAAATATTACAGTAACTACAAAATAATCGTTTGGGCGTAATGGCTACGGTGTATTCGTCCACGAGGTCCAGGATTGGTTGATC